AGGAACAGATGACGGGGGAGGAGGAGACACAGTTTTAAAGCACAAAGTCCTTTCTAGTTTTCAAAAGGCATTGGTTATCAAAAGGAGGATTTTGGGAAATTACTATCCCTATCTTAAAAGGCTTTCATCATCAGGAGCAAAGAGCAGGGTAGAGGCAACACATTTACAAGGTTTTGGCGTCAGAAGCAAAGAGCAATATGAAGGCATTTGCTTATATAAGATGATTAGATTATCACTATCAAGGAACTACCAGAATACTGCCATTAATATCTATCTGGAAGGGTGCAGTCATTAAATGCCCTTCTTAAAAAGTCAAAGGAAGATCAGAAGGGTAGATGCCACTATATCTAACATGCAGGGCAATAAAAACATCAATTTTCTCTCATTCACCTTTGAGCTGATCTTCAGAAACGTTTTCTGAAAACCTAGAACTCAACCTCCAGCTTCCATCTGGTATGGAGAGGGTGGTATTAAATGACAAAGTAACCTATACTGTTTTTGCCTAGTAAGGTTAGGGATGGAGAGAATGTGCTGTTACTATGGGCATTATGTTGTATACCCGTGGCTTTTGGAAGCAGTATAGTATCATTTCCTATATGGGGGGGGGGCGGGGGCTTCAACAAGTTTGTAGAAACATTTCTTTAGCTTTTAATTCCATTTTTCCATAAACCTTTTGTGGCCCCCTTATATTTTATAACCAAAGACGTGGCCATGGAATATCTGATGATTAGCAGCCCAATGGCATGGCCCTTTTCCAATCCCCAGGGTTTCTAATTTTCCTTCCAGGGTGTAATGCTCATGAACTCAATTCACACCTCTGCCCTTGAGAAGATATGAGGTATATATTTCTCAGGGACGAAGAGAAAATCGGATGACCACTTAGTCACTTGCCTGCTACAGATACTGTTCTTTTCTGAAACTGTGATAGAGCAAATAGCACTTTAATTTGTATGGTTTTTTAGGAAAGCTAAAAGGCAGGACAACTGGGAAGTTGTGCCACTGCTTACAATTCTTTGCAGAGGTCTCATTGTTTCTCTGGATCTCTAATTTCCAAAGGGCAGAACAGCTGGCAGGGATGGAGCAAAGGGAAAGAACAATCCTCCTCCACACACAGAAGCATGCCCGATCTAGCTTATACTTTGGAGAATAAGGGGTGCAATACTGGTCAAAGAGAGCTGCACAGTGACCCACTGGAAGATATCCTAGCCACTCAGGTCTGGCTGATCTTAGAAGTCTGACCCCCAACTGATCATCCACCATTGTTATTTAGCAGATGCTTATAGCAGTGAAAAGAACAAACCCTGGAAACGCTAAATTCTGAAGACTTTGCTAGATAAACCAGTCAGATCTCATTTCAGAGTGCTTGTGCCCATTCTGCCTCTAGGCCAGGTTGTCTACCACACTTCCTGGGTAGATGCTTTTTCACTGTGTCCTAAACAAGTAAGTTTTATGGGGGCGAATGGTATCCATTTTCACTGTTTCATAGGATTCCTGTGTCATGCACAAAACATTAGTGCATTACTTAAATACATAAAAATATGTAACTGAACATTTTGTCACTGCTTTAGCTTAATTTCAAAACAACATTCTCAGCTCCCATATCAGAACCCCAACATAATTTGGAAAATGCAAAACATCTGACTTTAATTTACCCCATAATGGCTGGCAGTGATCCATCTGGCTTGGTGTCATCCAGCGTTATTGAAATTGGAGCATCTTCATCTTCAATGATCATGCAGCCACAGTAGTCTTAACCAAGAAAAAAAAGCACAGGCACATGAATCTTTTCAGTGATTGAAGGGAAATGTGTGTGTGTGTGAGTGTGTGTGTAGATCTATCTATCTATCTATCTATCTATCTATCTATCTATCTATCTATCTATATGTATACCTATACATATATACAGATCTCTACCCACACATATATACCCACAAAACTATTTTCCTATGAAGAAAGAAAATCTTAACCTTTTCCCCCCTAACCCAATTAAATACATCATCATTATCGAAGGATGTCTGTTAACACAGAAACATGGAAAATGATTCATCGTTATGATCTTTATATAAAGGATTGCTGACTAATACATAAAAAAATGTTAAGATGGCTCAAGAGCTCTGTACTACAAGGGGAAACACAAAGGATATGCTCAAAAGAATTAATCAACCTGTGGAAGGTATGGTGGGAAAGAATCTCATGAGCATGAACAGCTTATGTCCCAGTCTCCTGAGAGCTTATGTCCCAGTCTCTGCCTCATTTATGCTGTGTGGTACACTACACAGCAGGTACTATTGTTACTATTTTACATGAAGAGACCAACACTCAGACACATTACAAGGCCCTCTGTTTATGAAGAGTATATGGCAGTACATATAGGAGGAGCCTGGGCAGTGGAGGTCCCACATTGCCAACATGTGCTCTTGGGATCTTTTTTATTATTATTATGAATCATTTTATTGAGAGGATCATTCAATTGTATTATGCCATCAACATATGGGATCATTTTGTATTACAAGGAGATATGAAAAAATCTGTAAATGAAGATTTCTGATTCTTTCTCTTTTCCAATTTGAATGATCTAAAAAGTGTGTGATATGGTTCCTTCAGGTAATAGTTTAAATATGAACAAGAGGAGCCTACCTTTCTTCTTCCAGAATGGCTCCCTGTAATACATCATGCACTTAATGACAGATCCCATTGGAAGACGCTGAATCAATTGATTTCGCTCTGGTGGTAGTTCTGGTCTGAAGTGGATCTTAGTAGTCAGAGCTGGTGGAATGGCACTAATCACGTACTTGCACTAAAACACACAGACACAAAGTTACATTTGAGACTGTGAGTCTGTAGAGGAACATCATCCTTATCATTTGGACAACATAAAAGAGCAACAGGTAAAAACTGAGGCAGTTGTGGATCAATAAAATAGAACAGAGCATGAAAACCAACCCTAGTTACCAGAAGACCAAATCAGAAACATGCAAGCAATAAGTTTGGCACTGATTGGAGTCTACTGGGTTAATGCTGTAGAAGACAAAAAAATGTCTATTTAATATGTATTCATTTGAACTACACTGGATTACCTCATAGATTTCATTATTTAATGTCTCGATGATGATGTTATCCCCTGTCTGGTCAATGCAGGTGACAGGACGCCTCAATTTTACTCGGTCCCCAAGAAGGTCCATTATGCGTTCGCTCACTTGACCAGATCCACCGACAAACTTGCGCTCCTATAGGAGGTAACAGGCAAAAAATAAAATTTGTTAAAACCCAAGAAAGGGTAATCATATTTGCCAATGCTAAGAACAATCTTTACAAAGGTAACCCTACTCGCTGCACATTTAACTTTTGGATTTTTCATAAGGACAAAAGTAGAATTAGTTGGTCAAGACATGTCAATAATCATTCTTGCTTCCAGCAGCATCTACTACTAGTTGTTAAACTCTCAGAACCAGACAAAATGTTCGCCTATATCAATGCCATTGACCAAACGAAAATATTAGTAAGTCTTTGGGTTTTGAAGGCCCAGGAGTGAAGGAGGTTAAAGGCAAAGTACTCAGAAGATGCAGTTTCGGGCTGTCTTTAACTTCTCACAGCCATTGGCTACAGTTGTCTAGGCAGGTACGGATGCCGACAGTAGCATATTATAGACTCTTAGATAATAGCTCTTGACCTAATAATAGAGTCAACCCTACCAATCATCATCAAATGATATTCTAGAAAAGGAATATCAGACCTGAAAGATCTTGATATTTCACTGTAGAGGCGGACAGGTGAAAGCTAAGTGCCTGCTTGCTCCTTCAGATACTGTGAACTGGTTCCCTTGAGCAGCCCTCCAAGAAAGAATAGTGCTTTACCCAGCTGTGATGGAAATAGTTACAACTGAATCTAAAAGGTAAGATCTTCATATAATGAGCCTTTTGTAAGAATGGAGGGTATTTTTACCTAATTATAGAAGATTTTTTGAAATAGACAGGTGGAGGCATGTCCCAACATTTGAAAAGTCGGGTATTCCAAGCATGCCCCGACAATTTTGGATGAGCAAGTACCCTTATAACTGGTTGTTGTTTTAAAGATACCACCAAGGTTTTTTATAAAATAATTCCTACAGTAGTCCAGACTTAAATTTATGATATTGTTTTCTTCCTCAAAGGAACTCTGTCAGTGCTGTAGGTGAAGTGGTAGATTATTAAGCCCAAATTTGATGGCACATATGTGCCAGTTGCTCTGAGAGAGAAAGATGAGGTTATCTGCTCCCACAAAGATTTACAGCCTTGGACATTCTGTGTGGGGTCACTATGAATAAGAAGCAACTCAATAGCAGTGGGTTTAGTTTGGATGTTTGTCAAAGAACTAGAATTCATTTAATTTATAATCTGATGTATGAAGAGTTGATATAGTGGCAAGATGAAGAATGGTTTTGATCTTGTTCATTAACTACATCCTTAAATCTAGAATTTGATATAAAATATTAAAATGAAAATATAAATTCTTTTTAAAGTTATTATAATAGTTTGATATCAATAATCTGAACTGTGCATTCTACAAAGGTCATATAGAATTTAGCTAGAGATATTAGGACAACTATGAATAAAAGATAAAAACAGAAAATCAGGTTCCTTGAGTCTATTCCAACCCATAGGGATCACATGTGTATAAAGTAGACTTGTGCTGCAGTCATTGCTGTAATGTTTTGGATCACCAGGCTTTTCTTCTGAGGCACCTCTGAATGGGTTTGGGCCACTACGCTTTCAGTTAGTAGTTGAGTATATAACTATTTTTGGCACTGAGCGATTCCAAAGAAAGGATACAGATACCAAATACGAGTCAAGACACTTCAGAATGTAAAATACAAGTTAAAAGGCATAATGTAGGAATTCTGCCTAAAATAAAGATGCTTAATAGAAAAATGAAACTGTCTTGCATATGGCTAAGAGTCAAGTGACCAATAACTCTTAGGCCCACTAGAACAACTGGAGAACATCTAGCGGTCTAAGGAAAAGATGAGGTCACTTAGTGTAGACCTTGTACTTAGAATTCTTGGCCACAGAGAAAAAAGCAGATCATAGGTCAATTGCTCATTTAATCGCAGACAAAATATTCCTCTCATTCACTGCCATCAAATGGATTCTGATTCATAAAGACCCTATAGGGCAGGGTAGAAGTTTCCAAGTTTGTCAAGTTTCCAAGACTGTAATACTCTATGGGAGCTTTATGGGAGTAGAAAGCCCCGTCTTTTTCCCTAGGAGGGATTGGTGGTTTCAAACTGCTGACTTTCCAGTTAGCACTTTGTTAGCAGTTTGTAGTTAGTAACCAATGAACCACCAGGGCTCCTCATAAAAATGATAAACCCCCCTCTCTCTCTCTGGAACAGACTCCAGACAAAGAATTTCAGAATCGGCTTTGGATTTTCAAGATTCTGACTTCACTACTAGTTTGCAAACAAACTCACTGTCATCTAGTTGATTCTAACTCAAAGCAACTCTATATTGGGTTTCTAAGGTTTTGTAATCTTTACAAAAACAGATTAGCTTCATCTTTATCCTGAAGAGCAGTTCGTGAAATTCTTGCCTGACAGCATGACCAGGACTCCCTCCATTCTATAACTGATAAAAGAGTAACTGACAAAGAGATGAAACAAAAAAGCCTGAAGTCTGGAATAGAAATACCTCTAAGTACAATCTTATAAGCACTAGAACTTGGGAGAAGTTAGTTTATTTTAGGAATTGAGCTCCTCCTACATAAATAGCCTAATGTGTTAATTACATCCCAAAGGAATTAACTTTTAAATTTCAAACCTAATTAATTCTAAATCAACTACTCTTTAGCTATGAAGTTATTTTCAGGAACAAGAAAATAAAATGATACAAAAAATTAGAGTTTTTCAAGTTATTAACTGAAACAGTTGTTAAGATACTGCTTGGGGAAGAGGGCAAGATCGCAAAGCGCTAGGAGTTTCAACATGTACATACCTGGCCCCCGTTGGTAACTGAGAAGATTCGAGTGGTACCCCCGCACTGCTTTACATACCACAAAAACCAAAGTGCTGAAACTTCATGTGGCTCAGAAGTCACATTAATATTCACAAAGAGATAAGCAAATTTCCGAGCAGTCCTGTTTACAGAATAAGAAGGGAGGTAAGACACAAATATGCACATGCTTAACTAGTTTTTATCATGCTTTGGAAACACAAGTTCATGTGTTTAGAGACGATTTCTATGGTTGTTGACAAAAGCTTCCACGCTCAATTTTTGAAAGAATTTTTTTTTAACTCAGGGAGAAAATAAAGCTTTCTACCACTTGCAAGAAGATAAGGGTTACTTTCAAATCTGCTATTTGCTGTGTAGTCTAAGAGAGCACTATGCTTGCCTGTGGTCACTTGGGTTATTGATTCCCATCTACTCTAATTCCCTTCCTTTCTTCTCCATCTCCATTGCCCTGGTCCAAGTTACTACTGTGCCTATTTGTTAGGCAACAATGGTAGCTCCTATCCTACAGCTACATATACACCTCCACCTATGCCTACATCCTAAATGGCCTCATTTATTACCAGATGCATTAACTCTTTTCAATGTAAAGATTGCATTGTCAAGGAGATCCTCCATTACCCTCATACTAGGTCAGGTTCCTGCTGGTGCAGGTGCTCTCTTAGCATTATTTAATTGTATGATTGATATTGGTTTTGCCTACTAGAAGAATATAAACTACGTGAAGGAGGGGCTAGCCTAACAAGCTCACCACTGCCCCTTAGCGCCAGCATATGAAACTCAGAAAACTCACTGCCAGAGTCAATTCTGACTCATAGTGACCTTGAGCAGGGTAGAATTGCTCATGTGCTCAGTGAGAATGTAAATCATTATGTGAGCAGAAAGCCTCATCTTCCTCCCAAGGAGCAGTTGGTGGCTTCTAACTGCTGACCTTGAAGTTAGCAGCCCCAAATGTAACACATGATATCACCAAGGCTCTGGTACCTGCAAATAGCAGGTACAAAAAGAAATACATGTTGATGCAATAACTGAACTCTTATTTGACGATGAACATGGATTCTAATGGGAAATATCACGTAGTTTTATGTTTTAATAGTAAAGGCTAGCTTTCCTCTAATTTCCTATTTCTCTGTATCTACATAGAATTACTTTTAAAGATTTCTTTCCAAAATGCTTCTGTAGCTGGTGACTCTGTAATATGAACATACAATTACTCGTTTTATTGCCAATTGTGCAACCCTTTCATTGAAGGATGTTCTAATTCATTTGTTTATTTTTATTCATAAGTTGTAGACCCATTTTATGCTCAAACCTGCTCTTAAGTGCCTAATGTACCTTAAAGATGTTACAGACTATAAGATCACTAGGTTCCCCCTTAACTTTTTTCTTGCAAATTATTAAAATGAACATTAAAGCTCAAAACAGAATTAAGAAGGGGAGAGAAAGTATATTTGAAATATACTTTGTCCAGCAGATTTTATCGATAAGATCTTTCATTGTCATCTTGTCCCACTCAGCAGCGTGCGGGGCATCCCATGGAGCATCAACGTGAATCTGCAGAGAAAGAAGGTCTCACATTCATGCGTGACAGTAACTGCCCACTTCCCTTTAAAGAGGCCCTCCTGAGAACCTCTGAAAACCAGTCTCCAGTCTACATGTTGGAACATGCAATTGGCATGGAATTCTATTTATAGACAGCTTGGGGGGAGGGAAGCCCCTTGGGTTCTATACTTTAAAACTGTTGCCAAAATAATAATACAGATTATATAATTATATAAATAATCCATATATGTATATTTACTTATATATTTAAAATATTAGCTACATAGATTAACATTATTGAAAGCTAACCCTCATTTTATACCTTTAACTTAAATTAGAAAAAGTGATGTTACCAAGGCTGAAACTAAGTTTAAAAGTTTGGAGAAGCATGTCCTTCTCTCTTTTAGTAAGTGGCGTCATGTATGAATAAGAAGACTACAGGTACAAATATCTGGCCAAAATTGTTTTCCAAAAAATGTGAAATGGTATGCAGTTGAAAGCACATGGGCATTCTTATCGAATAGATACAGGTTTGAATCAAAAAGGGTTCTAAGCTGTGTAATTATAAGTAAATTACATAACCTCTTCACATGTAATTTTCCTCACTTGTAAAGTGGTAATACTATCAACTTTGCAAAGTTGTTGGGAGCATAAGAAATCTATGATAGAGCAATATTTTCATTATGGTAGAAGCACATTAAGCAGTTGCTATTTTTATTTCACTACTGGGCCATTGCATGCTGAAATACACATTTTACCTCCTTCCCCATGTCATCCATTGTCCGCCATAGATTGTTGTAATCCAGATATGCAATGGGGTTCCAAACTGGTGGAAAGGCACCCCGAAATGGATACGTTTTCCCCTGGAACACAAAACCAAAGGAAATAGATTACAATGAGCAATGTTTTCAATTTGGATGACATCCTAAACCAAAAACCAACCAACCAAAGATTTCCAAAGTCATAGGATCCTCTACTGTGTCAGAAGCATCACCTTTGGTGGAAAGTAAATATATTTTATCTATACAGGACTCACATTTCGATAATAAGAGGATCATTCTCCTAGCATCATATCAATCCATTTTAATTTAGAAAAACTGATAACTTTGAACTTGTTTCTACTTATTTAGAAAAAATAAGTACCTAACCCTGATGCAAAAATATTTTCAAGTCCTGAGGTCATAGCCAGTTTCTTTGGAATGATGGTCCCAGAGGAGAGCAAGGTGACAGTGTGGACTATCTTTAGACTGCAAACAGGACACAGATGGCAAAGGGGAATGATTCAGATTGTGTTTTAAAGTTCATACTTGCTAAACTACAGATTATTTTAAAAATAGAAATATTAGAGTCGCATGTTTGGCTTCCCAGGATCTGTACTCCTTTCTTAGTACCACCCTGGTTTCTTCTGGGAAACTTCCTTTCCTTCCTTTTTGTATAGCCATGTAGATTGCTGGGTGTATTTGCCATTACCAATGGTGATGGGCCAACTAGATCCTTCTTCCACTCCCCTCTGCTCCCACTGGCTACTAGTACAGCCAGGCTGTGAGTTTATGATATATCAGAATAAGCTTGGTCCGTCACACATTCTCCGAGAATTCTAAGCCAGAAATGGACCATCTTAGAATAGTAGAAGGTTAGCTGTGGCTTCTTCTTTCTGCTGGCAACAATCTGAGTAGCTTTTCCCTGCTACAAAGGCCATGGCTTTGGAATCTACCACTAACCGCTCAGAGTTCTCCTGGTCTCTTCCCATTTTTAAACATGGTCAGCGCTAGTCTCCTCACAATTCTTTGGATTTTCTGCTATTTTTTTCAATAATTTCCCCTGTTATCTTAAGCTGATCTATATTGCTTGAAAGAACTCTATAAAATGTAGATAACTAATTATTCTGAATACCCTTCTTCAGTTGTGTGGCAGGCAACATGCTATGCAAAAGTAGGGATGAGGTGTGCAGGGTGAATCCTTAGGAAAGAGACCAGAGCTAAGTAATTTCTAAGACCTTATTTACTTATCTAGTTCATTTTAAAAATCATTTTATTGGGGGCTTTTACAATGTTTATCACAATCCATCCATCCATCCATTGTGTCAAGCACATCTGTTGCCATCATCATTCTCAAAACATTTGCTTTCTACTTGAACCCTTGGTATCAGCTCATTTTCCCCTCCCTCCCTGCTCCCCCCTCCCTCATGAACCCTTGATAATTTATAAATTTTTATTATTTTGTCAGATCTTACACTGTCTGATGTCTCCCTTCACCCACTTCTCTGTTGTCCATCCTCCAGAGAGTAGGCCTTATGTAGATCCTTGTAATCGCTTACCCCCTACATGTCTTCTAAAGCTTTAAGTGGCCTGGTAAACACCTAGGACATCTTCAAATATAATTTGTATGATAATTTTATTTTTAATTGAATATATATATATATTATATATATATATAAAGCCTACTGTGAGCACTGCAGAATATTAAGAGTTTGCTAGATTGGGGGAAAAAGGGGGTTATAGCAAAACTGATCATGAAGCCAGGAACACAAGATATGAGAGCATGTGTACATGCGTGAGAACACACACATACACACATACACACACACACACACACACACAGAGTCCATAGAAGCCATTGACAAGTAACTTTCTCTTCCACAGTAACAAATTCAAATAACTTTGGCAGATTATGGGATCTGATTTCTCATCTGAAAATACTGTGCTGTAATCTTTGATGTAACTGCTCAAGACTCTAATACTTTATCATCATCACTACCACTGCCCAAGATCTTCACAAGAATTATCACATGTAATGCTCACACCAACCCTTTGGAGACAATCGATATTATTATTTATTTTATAAATGAGTGAACAAAATCCCAGGGATATCAGCTAGTAAATATATAAAAACCCAAAATGTCCTATATAAAAGCCTTTGTCTTAAATCACTAGGCTTTTCTATCTCCTGTGGGATTGGGTGTGGTGGTGGTGGTGGGGAGGATATTGAAATGTGTTTGTTCTCAAGATATCTTAAATTTCCAAAATAAAATAAATTAAAGTTTGAAATGTGAAATTTCATATATTTTTCACATACATCTTTTATGTATCTAAGGAATGAAAACAGACACTAAGAAGTACTGAACTATCAGATGACTGCTGCAGAAACAAGACCCTCTTTGGAAAATGGTATACTGTTCTGTGAAATATGGGCAGATAATTTACAGAGAACACCAAAATAGCTATGGGCAGGGGAGAGGCTGGGATTCAGTACGAGCATAGTGGAAATTTTTTCAGTGAAATCTGAAAAAAAAAATCCAAACTTTCCTCTGTAAAATGTGTTTTTACTCAAGTAATGGTGTCATATAAGTGATTCTTTTCATTAAAAATTATTTTAAAATATTTTCAATATGTTCAGTCTTCTGGAGACATTAAAGAAAGAGTTATAAAGGTAATCCAACAATGTGTCCCTCACTGCCCATCTTCTTAACAGGAAGATGCCAACTTGAGTACGATTTCATGCAATGCTCTTCTGCTATGGGCCTTGATAAACACATAGAGAGGTAGGAGAAGTGAAGACTTCAGGAAGGGAGGAGAGGTGTCAGGCTTTTAAGGAATGTAAATGATGGAATATTTTTAAAGATCGCAAAGAGCTCCCCCTTCACATTAGTTCCCATCCCTGTCCCTGTTGACAGAGACAACAAACAGCTAAAGCATTAATTCCTGTTTCACCCTTATCTGTTTCTAACTTCTCTTCTTTCATTCCATAGAAAACCTAAACCAGCTGAGGAAAAAGTATGTGGGTGTAGGGAACTGGGACTATTATGTCCCCCAAAATACACCGGCATACTTCAGAGATATTATGGGTTCAATTGTAAGACAACCTTATTAAAGCAAATATTGGAGTAATAAGTCACGCAACTTTTTTCCTTGAACACAAAATAGAATTATGAAAAATGTTGTAATACTTTGAGAATCACCAAAATGTGATACAGAGATATAAAGTGAGCACATGCTGTTCGAAAACTTGTGCCAATAGACATGCTTCATAAAGGGTCATCACAAACTAAGCTTGAATTTGTGAAAAACACAACAAAGCAAACAAAATGCAATGTCTACGAAACACAATAAAGAAAAGCGCAGCAACATGAGGGTCCCTGTATGTTGAAGGCCTAACACCAGGTATCTGTGAAAGTGACCTTTTGGGGATGTAGGGTCTTTGATGATAGCACTAATTAACATGAGTTCCTACTGGAAGAGTGTCCTAATCCAACCTAAGTGGTATCCTTATCAAAGAGAAGAGATACAGACATGTGACCATAAAAGCAGAAATTAGAGTGATCTACACGGCAAGGAATTCTGGGCATCAACAGTTCTGCAACCTAATCAAAGGGGCCTATTCTTTAATCTTTAAATGATAGAACTTTTGACACAGCAGCAATTAATGTGGGGTAGTTCACATTGTCCTTAGAATTGTGGCCCAAATACTTTTGAGAAACCACATGTTCAATCTACTAATGTTCATAGTATCACACTCCTATCAGAGATGATAGTATATTGCTCTCACCATGTTTATTACTGTTGGATCTGTAAGACAAAATAAGCTGAGTTTATAGTAAGGTCATAGCATTTATTGATTGCACCTGACATAATTTTTCTGTTTTACAAGTTTCCACCTGTTTCTATTCCTTGCAAGATCCTCTCCTTTCTTATTCACTAATCCTCAGAGGTCGGATTCTCAATGTCTTCCTTTGACCTTTGCTCATCCATTTCTTTGGGGGAACATATCCACCATCTGGGGTTGTTATTATATCTGTACAGTGTTTACGTATCATAGGCCTTTTTCTGGACCTTGCTCATTTTGTGTGTATGACTTCTCAAATTGTTATCTACAATTTCTCACACAACTCAAGTCCTATGTTAAAATGGCTGCCAGCATATTGGTATTTGTTCATGATCAGATATTTCATCATAGCCTCATTCCTCTATCCCAGGATTTACACAGTTACCTTCGGACAGAGTTAGCACTTGAGGTAGGCACTCCCATCTTTGCCAAAGAGAAACATTAAACTCGGGTGTAAATGATGCCATAGCATCACAAATAAAGAGTTCCAAATGAATAATTGTGTCTTCTTTCCAAAGGAATTCTAGTTATATACAGAAATTACAAACAAACGAAAGAAGACTGAAATAATATGAATCTTTTAGAGATGCTTGGATAACTAAAGAAAATTGACAAAATGTTCTGGATTGAACTTGGTCCCTCAAAAAATATGTTTTGTAAATTCTAACCTCTGTGCATGTTGTTATAATCCCAATTTGGATTTTTGTTATGTTAATGACACAGGATTGGTGCAAGGGCTGTTTTAAATCAATCTCCTTTGAAATATTACACAAGCAAGCTAAAGCAGCGGGGGTGAGGAAGATTGATGCCAACATACATGGAGATGTACAAGGAACTAGGAAGCAGAAGCTGAAAAATAAGGATTTTTCACCAGAGTCTACAGATAAGAGAAAATAGAGGTCTAGATAAAGACATGTACACATGCAAATATATTTATATATGAGGATGGGGAAATAGACTTATGTGCCTATATTTATAGGTTTAGTATTAAGGTAGCAGAGGGACATTGGGCCTCCAATCAAGTACTCCCTCAATGCAAGAATACTTTCTTCTATTAAATTGGCATTCTATGATGCTCACCTTCCTGACACAACCACTGAAGACAAAGCGGGTGAATAAGCAAATGTGGCGAAGAAAGCTGATGGTGCCTGGCTATCAAAAAGTATGCGTATGGGGTCTTAAAGGCTTGAAGGTAAACAAGCGGTCATCAAGTTCAGAAGCAACAAAGCCCACATGGAAGAAGCACACCAGCCAATGCAAC